GAGGGCCTTTTTAAAAAATCTGTAATAATTTTTTTTTTTTTTGCGGTACGCGGGCCTCTCACTGTTGTGGCCTCTCCCTGTTGTGGCCTCTCCCGTTGCGGAGCACAGCCTCCAGACGTGCAGGCTCAGCGGCCATGGCTCACGGGCCCAGCCACTCCGCAGCATGTGGGATCTTCCCAGACCGGGGCATGAACCCGTGTCCCCTGCATCCACAGGCGGACTCTCAACCACTGCCCCACCAGGGAAGCCCCAAAAAATATGTAATAATTTTTAAATCAGCTTGCAATTTCCAAAGACAAACTGCTGGGAATTTGAGTGGGACTGAATGTAATCTATAGATCAAAATGGAATGAATTTTTATAATTTTGAATCTTCCAATCTATGAAAACAATATAACTATTTATTTAGTCTTCTTTAGTTGTTTTAGTATTATGTAGTAGCTTTCATATACATCTTTCATTAGAATTCATTAATTTTGGATACCAGTAGAAATGCTATCATTTGATGTTTCATTTTCTAATGATCTTTTCTAATAATTTATTTTTTATGCATTAACTTTGTATTCAGGTCCTTGTAAAATTAACTTATTAATTCTGTAGATTCATTTTGGACTTTCTATGTATTCAATCATGTCTGTGAATAATAAAAGTTTTGTTTCTTCTTTTTCAATACCTCTTATTTCTTCTTCCTGCCTATTACACACTATTGAATACAAATTGTTCAGTTCAATATCAAAACAAAATTGTGATAGAGGACAACCCTGCTTCATTCCTGATCTCAGGGAGAAAACTTTTACTATTTATTGGATTTTAATAAAGCCAATAAATATGATGCTTGCTGTAAAGTTTTTGTATTTATCTTTTGTTAGATTAAGGATATTCTTTTTTATCACTAGTTTGCAAAGGTTTTTAAAAATCATGAGTGGATATGGAATTTTATCAAATGCTTACTCTCCATCAATTGTGACAATTATATATTTTATCCTTTATTTGGAATTAAAAAAAAATTTATTGGAGTATAGTTGATTTACAATGTTGTGTTAGTTTCAGATGTACAGCAAAGTGAATCAGTTATATATATACATATATCCACTCTGTTTTTAGATTCTTTTCCCATATAGGCCCTTACATAGTATTGAGTAGAGTTCCCTGTGCTATACAGTAGGTCCTTATTAGTTATCTGTTTTATATATAGTAGTGTGTATATGTCAGTCCCAACCTCCCCGCCTTTACCCGCAGTAACCATAAGTTTGTTTTCTACATCTGTGACTCTACTTTTGTTTTGTAAATAAGTTCATTTGTACCCTTTCTTTAGATTCTATCTTGAATGTTAAATCAACTTTGCATTCCTAGAATAAAATCAACTTGATGTAAGATTTACCTTTTTTATATATTGCTGTCTTTGCTTTAGTAATATTTTATTTAGGATTTTTGTATCTATGTTCAGGAGAGAAATTGACCTGTAGGTTCCTTTCTTACAGTGTTTTTTAAGTTTCGTGGTCAAGGTTATGCTGGCCTCTTCCAATGAACTGAACAGAATTTCGTCTTTTTCTATCCCCTGGAATTTTTTGTGTAATACAGATGTTATTTATTCTTTAAATATTTGGGAAATTTTACTGATAAGCCATCTGGGCCTAGACTTTTCTTTGTAGGGAATTTTTAAAAATTTATTTATTTAATTTATTTTTTTGGCTACATTCGGTCCTCATTGCTGTGCACAGGCTTTCTCTTGTTGCGGCGAGTGGGGGCTACTCTTCCTTGTGGTGCGCAGGCTTCTCACTGCAGTGGCTTCTCTTTTTGCGGAGCACGGGCTCTAGGGTATGTGGGCTTCAGTAGTTGTGGCACGCAAGCTCAGTAGTTGTGGCTCATGGGCTCTAGAGCGCAGGCTCAGTAGTTGTGGCACACAGGCTTAGTTGTTCCACAGCATGTGGGATCTTCCCGGACCAGGACTCCAACCCATGTCCCCTGCATTGGCAGGCAGATTCTTAACTACTACGCCACCAGGGAAGTCCCGGGAATTTTCAATAATGGATAAAAATTTTTATTAGCTTTAGGACTATTTTGATTATCTATTTCCTCTTTGTTTTGGTAAGTTATGTTCTTTAAGAATGTTTTTCGGACTTCCCTGGTGACGCAGTGGTTAAGAGTCCACCTGACGGACTTCCCTGGTGGTGAGAGCCAAGGTCTCTCAAAATTCTGACCAGCAGAAATCATGTGAAATACTAAGTGTTTATTGTTCTTTTAAGCTGCTAAATTTTAGGACAATTTGTTACACGGCAATAGATAAGTAATACAGACTTTGGTACATGGAAGTGAGACATTGAAAAGTTATAGTGTCTTTGACAGTACGGTGGGAGGAAGCTGAAAGAACTTTGAGGAAAGTATCAGTGAAAGTCTAAAAGGCTTTGAGGAGACTTAGCAAAATTCAGATAGCCTTTGAGAAGGCTGCCAATGGGACTTAAATAAACCTGAGGATAGTGTTATTGGAAACTGGAGAAAAAAATTCTGTGTTATGCAGTGGCAGAGAGTTTAGCAACTCTGTTGTTACAGTAATGTAAGTGGTAGAAAATGTACCTAATGAAATGGGTGATCTGGGAATTCCCTGGTGGTCCAGTGCTTAGGAGTGCATGCTGTCACTGCCCGAGGGCCCAGGTTCAATCCCTGGTCAAGGAACTAAGATCTCGCAAGCTGCGTGCAGCCAATCAATCAATCGATCAATCAATCAATAAATCAATAAAGATGAAGCTGAGGGTGACAGTAAAATCTTTCATTAAGACCTTAGGAAGATCCAAGGTGGTGCCTCAGAGAACAGTTCAGACAAATGATAGGACTTCCAGGAAGCTTCAGAGTGTAGGCCCTCAGCAGTCTCAGCAGAGGTTCAAGGTAGAGCGTTATCTCAGAGATTTGTTAAGTTTTTAAGAATGTCATGGTGGCAGAATCACCACCAGCTTGAACTGTAAGACAGTAGAAAATGAAGAGAAGCCTTTCAATCCCCAAACTCCTTCAGACAGGAAGCAAGCTAAGAAAACTACTCAGCTACAAACACAGGCTAGCTTTCATATAAAATGAAGGATAATTTAGTGGGCAGAGCTATAATCTCAGAGTGGAGCCAAGAGCCACAGAGAATTATTCCTAGGATTTGAGTCCTAATCAAGGACTTGCCAACAAGTGTCTTACTGGATTTTAGAATTTTTGTGACTCAGTGACTCTTGTGTGCCCACCTTCCTCTACCCCCCCTTTTTCCTGTAGTGGTTTTCCTATACCTGTCCTGCCATTATGTGTTTTGTGTGTGTAGAAGCCAGATGTAACTTGTGTGTTTAGCTCACCAATCTTATGACTGAGAGGAACTGTACTCAAGAAACTCTATGTAAGGAACCACATATGATGCACTTCATCCATACCTGTACCTGATTTAGATGATGTGATTGTGGACCTTGAGCTGATACTGTAATGGAACGTGACTTTCGGGATTCTTGGGAGGGGGTGAGTATATTTTGAGGGTATATTCATGTGTAAGTTGGACGTGAATCAGTGAGGGCCAGAGGGAGGACTACGATAGCCAGTCTTTGAGATGGCCCCAGTGATTCTCAGCTCCTGGTATTGATGCCCTTGTGTAGTCCACTCCCACAGTGCATGGGGCTGACCTGTGTAACCAGGAGGATACTGCAAAAATTACAGTACTGTGTCACTTCCAAAAGTATAAGAAAATGAATGTTTATTGAGATAATCTGTTGTGTGACAATAGATAACTAATCCAGTGACCAATTAATTTAAATATCATCATGAACTTATGGATTTAAGCATATTTGATAGACTTTGTTAAACTAAATATTATTGTTGGATATTTAAGGATAGCTACTAATAGAAATAGAGGAATCAGTAGAAGGGGAAAAACATACATTACAAAACAAAGAAAACTTAATCCAAAAGGAAACAGGAACAGGATCAGAGGGTGGGGGAGGGAAGCAAATTGGGAAAAGTGTGATAAATGGAAAACTCAAGGTGAGAAATAAAACAAATTCAATATACCTGAAAGCCCCAAAGGTTGAAAAGCAAAAAACCAATACCCCAAAATCTCACCTATATAAAAACAGATACTCTGATTAGTTAAAAGAGAATATTCTAGATATATGCTGTTTACAAAAGCCACACACACCTGAAACTTTGAGTGTTGGTTCCCCAAAGTGATTTTAATGTGAAACAAGCTAACAGACGCAAATAAAGGGCAAAAATTTCTTTACTGTAAGTAAAGGATGTGAGAAATCAACTGAATAAAGACACCTGCATGGAGAAGAAGATACAGCAGGACTCTATCAAAGTGACAATCATCTCTGGCTTTCAGGGCTCCACAAAGGCTGCCTATGATACCATCCCATCCTTTGCAAAGTTGCCTTTCACAGGGTTTGTTTGATTTCTGCCTAGCCCATACCAGCTCTTCTGATAAAGCCCCCAAATATTTCTGAATGCTTACTGTGTGTCAAGGTACATCTGAAATCAATTTTCCAGGCATATCATCATCCTAGAAGACCAAGATTTCAGGTCTGCCTGGGGAAATTCTGCAAACGTAATGGTGCAGAAAAGTTGGGACTAAAGGGTTAGCAGTAAAGAAATGAAAAAAGATATACCACGCTGAGTAATCAAAGTAAAACTGTAGTGACAGTATTAATTTCAGAAAAGTATGTTTCAGAGCCAAAATATTAGCAGGCATAAAGAAGGTCATTTTATAATGTAAGTGGGGAAATTTATCAAGAGGACATAACAATCTTAAATGTTTATGCACCTTATAACAAAACTTCAAAATACATGAAGCAAAACTGAAAAACAGCAAGGAGAAATCAACAAATTCACAATTACAGTTAGAGATTTCAATATATTCCCCTTTCAACTCTTGATAGAACAAGTAGGCAGAAAATTAGAAAGGATATAGTAGACTTGAACAACACTATCAAGGAACATGACCTAACTGACAATGATAGACCATTTGACCTAACAACAGCAGAATATAATTCTTTTCAAGTGGTCATGGAACATGCATCAAAATACACCATATTCTGGGTGGGCCATAAACAAATCTCAATAAATTCAAAAGCATTCAAGGCATACAAAGTATGTTCTCTAATCACATGTTATTAAATTAGAAATCAATAACCGAAACATCTCTAGAAAATCCCCGAGTATTTGTTAAGTAAATCACATACCTCTAATTTTATTATGATCTTGATGGGTATAGAGGTCCTCAGCTGTAATCTAGGTCCCAGTGTACATTGGGTAACTGGAATAAAAGAAAGAAAAACTGTAAAAACTTTGTTTTCCAGTGTAGAAGAAATACAGATAATAATTACACAAGAGTTCAGTTTGGGGTTGAGGTAGAGAAGTCCTTTGGGGCTAATGACCAGTGTATTGTCAGGGATCTGGTGTGGAACCATTCCCTTCATTTCCAGTTTCCCAATCACCAGATTCCTCAAGGGTAGAGGAGCTAGTAACTTTGCAAACACGTTAATGGATCTACATGGGGCCAGTTATTCTCGCTTCCTCACCTGCCTGCTAAGCCCTCATTAATGAACACATCGTCCTCCCCAGCTGTGACCTGATGGGCCGCCCAGAGGAAAAGGTGGCTCTGGGGTGTCTCTTCCCAGTACAGGATAAGCTGTGAGTGCCTCTCAGGGAGGGAGCTGCCTCCCTCCCCTCACCACGTGGGAGGTTAATGTCAGTAGCAGGCTCTGATCCCCAGACTCAGTCTATGGACCGAATGAGTCTGGCTTTGTCTTTACTGTTTTTCTAATGAAGGCTTGTGTTCCGACCCCAGAACAATAGCTCTGCCACCAAGTCACATGCTTTGTTGGAATTAAATGGTTTGCTTAAGGACATCTCAAGCAACCTTGAAGGAGGAAATTCGCTGGTGTTTGATTATCACCAGGTAATACTCAGATTTCTGGGAACTGTTAACTACTGACACATATTCTGGAAGGAAGAGAATGTCCAGGACAGCCATCCTACCCCACAGGCTGATCTGATTTTCCAGGACATGGAGAATTCTAGCAACTTAGAAAGGATATTTATATGTGGCTCAGGGGAAGTTAACCCATGGTTTAGTGTTTCTTAAAGTATGGTTCAGCAACCACCTGTTTCAGATTCACCAGATTTGGGGGCCTGGCTATAGACTTACTGGCTCACATTTTCTGAGGTTGGGACCTGGAATCTGCACAGAAACAAGCTTCTCCAGTGAACCTTGGGCAGGGCACCTTAATGTTTAAGAACCCTTGCTTCGGATCACTGCTGCTCAGAGATACTGGCTGCTCCCTCTGACTGCCGGCTCTCCGTTGTACTCCCACTCTGCTAGCCCAAGGAGGAGGGCAAAGAAGCAGGTAGAAATAAAATCCCTTGCTTACTTCTCCCTCATCTACAGGCCCCAGGCACCTGCTCTCACTCCTAAACACTCCACTCCACAATCCATTTCCATATGATAAGACCACTCAAATTTTCTTCCTCGTTTTCATTCACAGGTACAGACTGCAGCCAACAGAAATAGTGGCTACCCCAGCATCCTCTGAAAGACTGTCAGAGATGTCAATTTCTCCACAATCTCTTGCTTGACTAACTCTCTATATTCTGAATAGTTTTGAATTTAGTGCAGGCTGGAGAAGAGAGATGAGAGAGGAAAGGGGAGAAGAATAGAAAGAGAGAGTAGATTTAAAGCAAGTAATAAATCAGAGGCTCTGATCAGCTACCCATTGTATTAACCACGACCCTACCCTACCCTATTCCAACCCACCTCCCTGCCTGAGTGTTGGCCACATTCCTTCTCTTCTCTGCTTTTGTCCATTCTTTTAATCAGAGAGGTACTTGCAGACCCATTACCCACACTGAAAGAGTCAACTGAGGAAGAAGATGTGAAGCTGCGTCTTAAGAAGTTCTGCTTCACTCTTAGCAACAATTCCTCAACTTCCTTGAAGTTCCTGTAAATTATTCCATCCTGGGATTTTTACAGTCAATTCTTTGAAGTCCTTGTAATTTGCCTTGAAGCTGAGTTGCCTTTTGACACCAATAGGGCCAATGACATTTGCAACCCAAATCTAGGGCTGTCCACATTCCTGCAATAATGGGGTTTATTATAAACTAGAAACTGTTGGGTGTAGAATGGCTGAATATTACATCTCAGTGACCAAATAAATCAGTTATGCTCCACGTGCTCTAAAAGAAGTTACCGAGGCTCCAATTTGGTATTCAAATTTGCCCTCGTATTTTGTGTCTTAACTTCATCAGGGCATGTTACCTCTTCAGGCATTACAATGCTTTCTTCTTGTCACCGTTCACCACTCACAGTGTTCTATCAACAGCCATAGTGCCTTCATTACCTACTTGACAGATAAATTTAGTCAACCCTATGTCCAGAGTCTTCCGCTGCTCTGGTAGTTTGCTGATTCCGGAAAGTCTGCCAGTGGGATAAACTAGAATCTTTTGCCTGTTCATTACAGCTCTTTCCTCTCTGGAATCCTCCCAACATCTTTCACAGCTGTATTATTCATTTACTCTCCTCAAGGCAGAAGGAGGGGGCTCAATTTTGTTCCTTTCTCTCCTACCCCAATCACATCTGCTGGTTTCAAAACCTTCACAACTGAAGATCCTCACCAAAGAGCACAGGGTACTTGACTGACTCCAGAGCCCAGAGGTAATTCAGGAACAGAGCAGCCAATGCGGCAGAAGAGAGTGTGGTGCTTAGGTGATGCATCATGGCTTTGTTCATTCTCTGAATAGAAAAGGCATTTTTACAAAGCCCTAGCCCTAGTCCTAGGGAGGGGCTGTTCCTTCCCTGCTGGCCCAACAGCCCTTGAGAACAAGGTGATTCTACTCACTGGAAACGACGGTGACTTCGTGAACGATGGGTGGCATTTTCCCTCTGGCTGATGCTCCCGAGTGCAAGGTCTCAGCCCTCTCTCTACAGCCCTACACCATCTCCATCTCTCCACATCCCGACCTCCATCACCTTTAGAGCCCATAGTAGTGTCTGGCTTGGGCCAAGTTCTGAGTGGCAATTTTATAGCTGAGCCAATGAAACACCTTTAACTCCTCTAGAACACTCAGGATCCTCTGAAGGCCTGTGTAGTCACTCTTGCTTAGTACACGTGTCTCTGTCTATTTTGTTTGGTGGTAGGTTGCTTGCCAAATCTTGTCATTGTTTCATTTATTCATTTTATTGTTGTTTAGTTTTGTGTTAGATCTATCTCTCCAATAAGAATAATCAAAGCTAACATTCTTTCTCAATGTGCCAGGCTTTGTTCAAGTGCTTTACATGAATTAAGCCATTGAATTTTTACAACAAGCTTTTGAGATTCGTGCTATTATCCCTATTTTACCGAAAACTGAAAATCAGAGAGGTTAAGAAACATTCCCAAGTTTACACAGCTAGTTAGTAGTGAGGTCCCGGCTTGGAACCTTGACAGTCTGACGCCAGAGCCTGTGTGCCTGAACACAAAATATACTGTCTCTAGAATATGAACTTCCTGAGGTCAGACACTCTTGAATTCCTGACAGGAAGGACACGGAGCTAAGCATATGGCAGACGGTCAATAAATACTTGGTAAGTAACTGTTTCATTATTTAGAATTTTTTAAGATCCTTAAGAGAGCAAACTGTGTATATTTCTTTTATATTTTCCGTTGCTGCTCAAGTCATGCTTCCTAACTAACCAACCAGCCAAGTAGTGGAGAACTTCTCTATGATAAAGTTCTATCGACAATCTTCAGAAGGCTGTCCTTAGGGCAGAACTAAACCAGTGAGAGCCCCTGGGTGTTTCACCTCATTTCTGGTGGTCCTCTCTTTCCACGTCGCAGAGCACTGGAGAAATATGGAAAGGGCAAACCTGAGCCGAGGGATTGAGTTTGAGCTCTTGGGCCTCACCAGTGACCCCTGGCTCCAGAGGCTGCTCTTCATGGTGTTCCTGGGCATGTACACTATCACGCTGCTGGGGAATCTGATCATGTTCATTATGATCCACGTTGAGTGCCACCTTGCACACACCCGTGTACTCCCTTCTGAAGAGCCTCTCCTTCTTGGATTTCTGCTACTCCTCCACAGTTGTCCCCCAGACCCTGGTGAACTTCTTAGCCAAGAGGAAGGTGATCTCTTATCCCGGCTGCATGGCTCAGATGTTTTTCTATGCGGGTTTTGCCACCAGTGAGCGCTATCTCGTTGCTGCCATGGCCTACGACCGCCATGCGGCTATTTGTAACCCCCTGCTCTACTCAGTTGCCATGTCTCCTGAGGTCTGTGCCTCTCTGATCGTGGGCTCCTACAGTGCAGGATTCCTCAGTTCTCTAATCCACATGAGCTGTATCTTTAGTCTGAAATTCTGTGGTGCTCACGTGGTCACTCACTTCTTCTGTGATGGACCGCCCATCCTGTCTCCATCACGTGTGGACACTTCGCTGTGTGAAATCCTGCTCTTCATTTTTGCTGGTTTCAACCTTTTGAGCTGTACCCTCACCATCTTGGTCTCCTACCTCTTCATTCTCATCACCATCCCGAGAAGGAACTCAGCACAGGGCAGGTTCAAGGCCATTTCCACCTGTGCTTCCCACTTCGCTGCTGTGTGCCGCTTCTATGGCACAACACTTCATGTACCTGCGCCCCAGGTCCAGCCACTCCCTGACCCAAGACCGCATGGTTGCTGTGATCTACACAGTGGTGATCCCAATGCTGAACCCCCTTATCTACTCTCTGAGAAACAAGGATGTGAAAGAAGCTTTAAGAAAGGTTTGGGGAAGGAAAATAATGGAATGATCTTCTCAGTTCATCACCATATATCTTTAGAAAACTGAGGGTACTTTATGTGGTGCCAACCTGAGTACAATCCCATGCTCACCCCTATTTATAGGGGGCACTCTCTGGTCTGCAGGTGCTTCTGCATCTACCTGCCACAGAAAGAATTGATGGTGTCATAGAGACTAAAAAGAAGCAAGGAGTGTCAGCTTGTTGCATAATTGGACTCACTGGCAATATTTAGTCATGCCTTTGTTCAGATGCTTCATTCATATTTCCATGTTTGTGAATATTTTAGTTTATTATTACAAACTGACATTTATATTCTTCATAATGAAATTCTTCCCTTGACTAACTTGAAGACCTTCACTTCTTGGGGAAATCCTCCCCATTCTTTACAATCTCTTCTTTGTAAAGGCTGACTCCTTGACTTAAATTTTTTTTGATTGACTAACTATTCGAATGATACTATAACAACAATTTCAAAAGCTCAGATGATGTTCTATTGTCTTT